AATAGAGAAAGCAAAAGCTGTGTACACAAGCAAAGCAAAACAAGGAATTAATTTGCTACTTCCCAGGGGCAGGCAACTGTTCAGTCATTTCCAGTAAAGCAGGGCTCCATCCCGCGTAACAATTATTTGGCAATACAAATGCCATAACTCCATGTCCCCCTCCTTTCCTTCTTCTTCCCCTGTCTTTATACACTGAGCATGATGCCATATGGTATAGAATATCCCTTTGGTCAGTTGGGGTCAGATGTCAGAGCTGTCTCCTCCCAACTTCTTGTGCCCCCCCAACCTAATCACTGGCAGAGCAGTATAAGAAGTAGAAAAGGCCTTGATGCTGTGCGAGCACTGCTCAGCAATAAAAAAAAAAAATCTATGTTATCAACACTGTTTCCAGTATACAGCCCCATACTAGGTGAAGAAAGCTAACTGTACCCCAGCCAAAATCAGCACATCTGTAAACTTGTGGATATTTTTTTCCCAAAAGAACCTAAGATCTGGATACCAATACTCATGAAGCCTAGTAAAAGCTGTATAGTCAAATCCTCTAACTGGCTCTAATCTGGTTGCTTCTGTCCAATATAAATGCTACTTCACTGATTCTGTGGCCTTACTGACATACTGTAGATATGTGCTCTGAAACAAGTGACACAGCTGCTCTCCTGTTGTTCTCTCACCTCTTTTTAGACTTAGGTAAATGCATTATTAATTGTGAATTATAGTATTCTGACAACTCGTGTTTATTGATGACTAGAACAAATTTAATACAGTAAACTTTGGCAGAAGCAGCAGTGTGCTGAGCAACTGCTCACTGCTACTGCTACAGATCACAGGTTTGAGAGGTGATTGTATGATTGTATGTAGCTCAGAGGTGAAATCTTGAGGTATGACACATCTCTGGGGACTAACATGAAAAACCACTCACAACTAGATAGATGAGCATTCAGATGATCACATTTTCACTCTAACTATTCAAATCTCTATGCTGCATTAAAACTTCTTAAAGACCAAGAGGGAAGGTATATTCTCAAGAATACTGTAAGGAAAGATACAAACCAATAAACGAAAATAATAAAGATCTTCATTTGAAACTGTTTCTACTTTGAAAGTAGCAAACCAAGAAATAGGTATGCCAACAGAACTAGTTCTTGCTGTTTAAATTCCAAGACTTCAGAATGTACTTGTTTCATATTTCCACAATATGGTCCCAGTGGCTGGAAAAGGACAACTGAGTTGCAAGAAATTGAATCACAGAATCATTTAGGTTGGAAAAGACCTCTCAGCTCGAGTCTAACCTTTGACTGATCACCACCTTGATAACCAGACCAGAGCACTGAGTGCCACGTCCAGTCGTTTCTTGAACATGGTTTGAATGGAAGTAAATGTAACAAAATTTTGAAATTGAAATTGTTGGAAATTGAAGTAAATGTAACAAAACTCCTCAGAATGTGAAAATGATAGAAGGAAGTCACAGTCATCTCTGTGACTGGGAGCAAAAGGGTCATGTGTCCCTTCAAGGTTACACAACAATAAGCCTGTCCTTTTTAGAAAGCCTTGGGACAATTATATGTCCCAGTGTATTCCACAGTGATTTTTATATAGAATTTTTTTTCTCACAAGACTAGAAATTGTAACTTTGGATTTGGAGTTACCACTGGAGTTTATGTTTTACCAGTGAATTGGATCTAGGGTTCTTTGGATGGAAATAAACTTGTGATTACTCTGAGACTGCACTGATTCTGTTCTGGGTGGTCCCCTCTCCTCAGAGTGTTTTTGGTGGGGGTTTTTTTGTGTGTTTGGGGTTTTTTGGTTTTGGTTGGTTGGTTGGTTTTGTTTGGGTTTTTTGTTTTTTTGAAGCTCACTAGTTTGCTTTTTGCAGCTTTGGCAGAGTGGAGAAATGACTAGTGAAGTCAACAGGTTGGAATTAAACAAAGCTGATCAGATACCCAATTAGTATGATTCATTTAAAGAAATGTAGTTGCAGGAGAATGGGGTGCAAAATATCGCTGCAGTAGTATGATGCATGCAGGCACACCAGCTGCAGACAGGGCTCCCGGCCTCTGTATGAAGTCCCTAAAAGTAAGCACAGTGTGCAAGCACATACTGAAAGCAATGCACATTTTCTTCTTGAAGGGCACTGAAATGCAAGTTTGAGATGTAAGGGGGCATGGTTGCTGAATGACCAGTCCTGGCTTTGTCCCCTGCAATTCCTTTATGTGTTTTCCTCCTCTGCTGGAAGTCACTGACCACAGGCACAGGTTGTCAAACTCAAGTACATTGAGGAAGAGGAGTTGGTCCTGGACTCTTGAATCTCTGGTGTCAGAAGCAGTTTTGGTCTTCCTGGCTGCAGCATCGATAGCAAAGCATCATCCTTCAGTTTGATAACCAGTTGATTTCAGGGCTACTCCAGAACCCCATTTCAGTGTATCCCATATTCTAATGCTTTTTGTTTTGGCAAAAGTACCTGGAGGAAAGGAGGTGTGTGAAGAGCTTTGAACCCCTCTACCATCATGAAGAGAGGTTCTTGCATAAACCAGTCCATCAGACCAAACATAATTTCTTGGGCTTTGTGTCCTAGAAGATAAATTCTTACCCTGGAGATGAAAATGGGCAGAAATACAGAACAAGGCCTTCTTCTTTCCCCCTCCCCCTTTTCCTCTCTCCCCCAATAGATGGAATTTGTCAAAATCCTAACATATATTCTGAAAATTGTTTTTCTATTAATAGTTTTTTGTTGTTGTGGGGTTTTTTTTGTTTGCTTTTTTCAGTTTGGGCCCAAAGAAGGCTTTTCTGAAAGAAGTGGACAAGCTTTCAAGCTATCTATGTTGGCTTAAAAAGGTATTAAGAAAAGGCAATAAACAGAAGGTCTTGGTCCTAAGTAATTTCTTGCAGTCTAATTTGATTTAAAATGCAAGAAGACTTTTAAATGGATTAATTGAAAAGGGCAAAGTTCTGATTTTACGCTGCTGTTATCTTGGGCAAAGTAGTATAAAATGATGAGTTGGTTCTGCCCTCTGGCAACCTAGTTCTGCAGAAATGGAGCAGGTGTACAGCAAGGAACATTACCCAGCCTTCTTGGTGTACTGAGAATGGGACCAAGTGTTGAGCATTGGTAGAAAAATCACATGCTCTTTTTAGTCAGTGTGCCATGTTCGTATATGGTGGTGTTGTGGATAAGTGATTTAGGTCACTTAAAGAATCATGATCTAAGGTATTAGCAAAAGTGGTTTTAATATGAATTTTCTAAAAGTGCAACTTAAAGTTTGATGGCAAGGTTCACTCTATTACTTATTACATGGATGAAACATATGAAGAAAAATTGAGTTAGAATTGATCTAGAATGATTTACACAGAGACCAAAGATGCAAAAGGGTAAGGGAAACCCTTCCATTGAGTCATGAAGTTCAGAGTGGACCTCCTTGCTTTCTAAACTCCTGACAGAGCTTAGGTGCGACTAGGTCCAATTTTAGTATCAGACTTGGATGACCATTTATGTCTAATGGAATTAGCTACATGGATTTCATTAGTATTAATTCAGCATGCTTTCAGTCACTTAACAAGGATCTGTTGTGAATTAAAGGGTCTCTCCACCTCAGGTAAGGAATCTCAAAAATTGAGAGGCATCCCAGCTCAAGGGTAGAGTCACTGGTGTGCAGTACAGTTGCAACTTACAGAGAACTCAAATTGGACTCACCTGAAGGTCTGTTGTTGGTAGAAGGTCTCTTTGCCTCAAGGAGTAACCTTGAGAAGCATCCTAGCTCAAGGGGAGATGACCGCCCTGCCGCCACAGTGCCTAGCAGGGATAAAGTGGTTGGCTCATAGTCAAATTGCATATGATGGGAAAGGTATGCATGAGACTCCTTGTACCCATAACTTTCTTTGTCCTTTGTTTAATAAGTCTTGGAAAAGTCACACGCTATTCGTGTGTTGATCGCACAATCATGTTCCAAGCTCATATGCATCTATGTTCTCTGCTTCTTTGTGTGTTTCATAGAGCTACAGCTCAGACCTTTACCTCCTTTGGAACCTGTACCAAACTACTGCAGGTTTAGTTAAGGGGGTTGAGTGCATCCATCACAGGTGTATCAAATGCAGTGCTTTGAGAGTAGAAAAGAGGTATATGTTTCTCTTACTCCTTCTCATGGTCAAAAAAAATTAAGGGAAGTCTCTAGGCAATGATTTTAAAATTATTACTATCATTCAGGCAGTGTAGCACTGGGTCAAGCTGAACAGGAGCCAGCATGTTACACTGAGCTTTGTGAACATGTAGAAGTCACAGTGACAGAATAAACAAGCTTACAATTATTATGAGAGGGGACACATCCTTCTTGAAGTATAATCTGTTTTTGTAGAGTGCTGAAAGAAGAAATTATCTTTATGATGTCTATTCAATAACTACACACAACTGTGTAATGTCTACATCCCACGTGTGGAAGCCTGATCAGACCACAAGTCTCCCTAGTATAGTAAAGTTATTCCCAGATCTCTCCCATAAAACCCTTCTTCCCCAGCTGTAGCAAATTCTGTTCACTAATGCATAATATTTATAGTCATCTTATTTGTGTGTTGTCCAACAGGTACACCCAGACTACAAGGAAACAGAAATCCCTACGGTAAGTTCACAAATACCTGAGTGCTTGCATTGGATCATATTTCTGAAAATCTCCAGAAATAGTATTCCTTTGAGTACAGAAGGTGATGAGTAAACTTGGGGTAAAGGAAACAATCTGCATGCTTCCACTGAGATACAGGGTTTGACTATATCATAAGGTTGGGTATTGAAAGGTTTTCATCCACTGGTAGGAGAGGGTATGTTGGAAAGAATCTGGGTTGTTGGTTGTTTTGAGGGTTAAAAAAGTATGGTGGGAATCAGACTATGTGCACTGCTTGGTTTCATCTTAACAGTGAGTAACTTCCCAAGGGCAGTCTAGAAAGCCTCTTGGATTAATTACATGGGATATCCTGGTTCTGCACTATCACCTCAGCCTCTGGATTTTCCCCTTTAGGTAATACATCAAAATTTCCTCGTGTCTAAAGTGCCCAATAACACCAGCTGCACAAAGCAGTCAGGTGGCCCCACTCCTGAACTACAGCAGGCCCTCTCTGCTAGTGAGAGGCAGTGCATAGAGACGGTTGTCAACATGGGGTATGCACCTGAGGACGTCCTGAAAGCCATGAAGAAGAAGGGGCAGAACATAGACCAAGTAAGAGTTTGTGCAATGGGGAAGAAACCCTTGATTGGATGCTGATTCTGCTGAGAAACAAACTTGGTTTTGCAAAATGGATAGGGGGGAATATATTTATTCTAACAGGGGGTTGCAGCCTGTAACTGCTGGGACATTAACCACTAGAGAAGTTGTCATCTGGCAGTAAAGGCTCCCAAAACAAGAGTGTCCACACTTGTTTCTGATGAGAGACTGAGTTGGCCACACCTGTGGGTGCTGGGTCAGAGCTGCACTGAACTTGGGATGGACCCTTAGTTCCACGTGAAGTTGGGAGAGGTACTGGGCCTTCCCAGGGGCCACAAAACCATCTGAAGGAAGCTTAGCATGGCTCTATGCCATGCTTAGTGCCATGTGACAAAAAACCAGCCAACTTCCCTTGTTCTGAGAATGGGTTGCAATGCTGATGTCTCTCCCTGTAGAGAGGGATTTGCCCTTGCAGGCTTACAACACCCTTGAAAGGCTCTTGCAAAGCACTGCTGACAGACTTTCTTTTGTGTGCTGTGTTGCTTCCTGCCTCGTGCATTGCCTCAAATGCTTGCTAAAACCAGGTCACTGAGCATAAAGCGCTGCAGGGTGAAGCATGGCTCTGGGTCTTGAATCTGCTTCAAACAAACATTTTAAAGCAGGGAGAGTATGGCCAACTTTCTGTGTGAGAAACCCTAGGTGGGCTGTGTGCAGAGCATTGCCTGGCAGGACTGTGCCTGTTGCCTGGGGAGGAGGAGCATCCCAGTGACTCCCTCTTGTGGAGCTGATCTGCTTGCTGGCTACCTACACATAGAGAATTATTTAAGCTGTGTGCTGGAGTGAACTGTAGTATCAAATGGAAAAAATGTCCCTTAGGATGGCGGTTTTAAATCCTGCTGTATTTGCAAGCTGCATTCTTTTGTGTACCTAGCATTACCTATCTGACCTTTCCCCCTAACTCTCAAAACTGAGGACAGATAAGAAATTTGGCAGTGGTTTCTGTGTGTGTGAGCTGGGATTTGCAGCTCACTCACCAGTATGCTGAGTTGATCTTGAAAGGTTGACTGCTTTCAGATTGCATCAGCTCTTGTGCTTGTGGATGTCTGAGAGGAAGCTAAAAACTGACATATATTGACTGCTGAACCTACAGTTTCATCTTAAAAACTTGTAGTATAAAAAGCACAGTTAAACTTCTAAAGATTGGCTTGTGAGACTGTTTTGACTAGAGCAGAAGATGATGTTCAGAGCTGGTGGGAGAACACAGGAGGACAGAAGGGCTCGTCTACTTTCTCTGAACAAGTTCTTGCATAAAGACTGTCTCAGATCTACTAGGAAGGACTTAGATAAAGTCCCTGGTGAAGCCCAGAGTAAAGTTGTGCTGAGCCCCTCTGAGTGTATAAAGATGGTATTCAACCATGTGCTGCAAATGCTACTCTGCAAGCTTAATTTCTTTTCTTCATTCCCCACAGGTTCTGGATTACCTGTTTGTACATGGACAGCTTTGTGAGAAGGGCTTTGATCCACTTCTTGTTGAAGCAGCTTTGGAAATGCACCAGCGTTCAGAGGAGAAGGTGAGGATGCAATGTGTGCTAGAATAGAGAGAGTGTGCAGTTCCTCTGGCTTTTGTGTAATGCTGCCTTATTTCCAAAATTGACTGTTGAAGAACATCGCTGTGGTGATAAAGTGAATATATGTTAAAGCATTAGAATTATTCCGTGTTGCTTTATCATTCTCACTTGAATGCATTTTTATGGGGACAGGATTTTTTCAAGACCCTGATTATTCTGATTGTAATGTTTTGAACCCAGAGTTCTCTTGTGGGCAGGGTGCTTGGTATAGAGACAGTTAATTTCAGAACCAGCAAATTATCTTTCAAAATGTGTCAACCTGCCCTGGCCATGAATTTTCTCCCTTGTACAAATGCATCTGCCTGGCTGCTCAGCAAATTGGGTTAGTGGTCTCTCTTGAAGAAGATCCAAAATGTTTTTTGAGGTCTGGCTGCTTTACAAACACCAAAAATACAGAGGCAGGAACAGGTAACCAGCTCAGAAGACAGCAGTATCTTTTAAAGTTTGACTGTCTGTTGTGTGCCAAGTTATTATATGAAAGTTTTAGAGGTACAACTCAACCCCCCCAGACATAGAATCATAGAATGGTTTGGGTTGGAAGGGACCATAAAGATCATCTAGTTCCACCTCCCCCCACCATGGGCAGGGACACCTGGAAGCTGGCCTTGAACACTTCCAGGGATGGGGCAACCACAACTTCTCTGGGCAACCTGTTCCAGTACCTCACCACCCTCACAGTGAAGAATTTCTTCCCAATATCTAAGCTAAACCTACCCTCTTTTAGTCTAAAACCATTCCCCCTTGTCCTGTCACTCCATGCCCTTGTAAATAAGTCCTTCTTCAGCTCTCTTGTAGCCCCTTTAGGTACTGGAAGGCTGCTACAAGGTCTCCCCAGAGCCTTCTCTTCTCCAGGCTGAACAATCCCATCTTTCTCAGCCTGTCTTCATAGGAGAGGGGCTCCAGCCCTCTGATCATCTTCATGGCCCTCCTTCGGACTCACTCCAGTGAGTCCATGTCCTTCCTGTGCTGAGGACCCCAGAGCTGGATGCAGTACTCCAGGTGGGGTCTCACAAGAGCAGAGTAGATGGGCAGAATCACCTCCCCTAACCTACTGGCCACACTGCTTTTGATGCAGCCCAGGATATAATTGGGTTTCTGGGATGAAAGCACACATTGCTGGGTCGTGTCCAGCCTCTCATCCACCAGCACTCCCAAGTCCTTCTTGGCAGAGCTGCTCTCGATAGGTTCATCCCCCAGCCTGTATCGATACCATCATTTGCCCTGACCCAGGTGCAGGACCTTGCACTTGGCCTTGTTGAACTTTATGAGGTTTGCACAGGCCCACCTGTCAAGGTCCCTCTGGATGGCATAACTTCCCCCCAGTGTGTCAACTGCACCACATAGCTTGGTCTCATCAGGAAATCTGCTGAGGGTGCACTCAATCCCACTGTCCATGTCACCAACAAAGATGTTAAACAGAACCAGTCCCAATACTGACCCCTGAGGAACGCCACCCGTCACTGGTCTCCACTTGGACATTGAGCCCTTGACTGCAACTCCTTGAGTGTGACCATCCAGCCAATTCCTTATCCACTGAGTGGTGCACCCATCAAATCCTTGTCTCTCCAGTTTAGGATGTCATGCAGGACTGTCAAATGCTTTGCACGAGTCCAGGTAGATAACATTAGTTGTTACTAATGTCATATATATGCCTTCCTGGCTTTCTTGGACTTGGTGATGAGCTTGCAAACAGAGGAACAGTGTGAAGATGGGAGAAGTGACCTAGTTCAGTAAATGAATTTGCTACAGGCTTAACTCCAAATCTGGAAATGGCTAGTCTCCTGATCATGCATTTCAACCTGTTTTGGTTTGATTTTGTCATCATTCCCCCAAAGTGGGGTGGAGGTCCTGTAAATGGCAGGGGGTCCATAAAAGTCTGATCGATCATTCACTTCTTGTTACTTTATTTTTTACAAAATTCAGGGAGGATGTGTGTCCAATAGGATTTGTGCTAATCCCACAAGTTTGCCCTAGATCTGAAGAACCATTTGATAGCAAGGGCTACTGTGATGTTCCCAAAGTAACTAAAGAAGTTCAGATGCAACGGTAGTTGCTAGATGTGGGGGAGTAGGGTGACATTAATCAGAGTTCATTAGGGCAGGCTGATAAATTTCGTATTGGGAGAGACACCCCACAGAAGGAGCTTTGGTGCCCTTGCTGAAGAGGATTTTGGAAATGCAGGACTGCAAACACGGGACTGAAGGTGAGGCTCCATGGGCTACTGCACCCAGAGCTCTGCCAACTCTGGTGTGAGCAGATTTTCTCCAACCAGAGTTGAAACAGGCTGTACTTGGGGTGTAGAAATCCACCCTATGGGGTGCCCAGTCACTGAAGACTGACTCTGTGCTAAACCTCCACTGAACACTGATCCTCTTTTCTCTTGTGAATAATGGACTGTCTGTGTCTTTCAGATCACAGAGCTTCTCCAACTAATGAGTCAATTTAAAGAAATGGGCTTTGAACTAAAAGACATTAAGGAGGTCTTATTATTGCATAACAATGACCAACAGAACGCTTTGGAAGATCTAATGGCCCGTGCAGGAGCCAGCTGAAAACACATTCCTGGATTCTCATCATACAGCGGAGCAGGACCAGCCCTGCCACCTTCACATCCAGGGTGACTTAATCTCAACAGGAAGGAGTCTGGCTTTTTGCATATAAGGGAGAGCGTCTGCACGAGTCTGCCCATGTGCATCCCTCTAGGATTTCTTTTTCCCCTGAGAGCCAACTTTCTTTCTGAAATTAAATTTTTAAAGTGTCCTTTCCTAAGTTTCCTTTTTCCAGCTTGGCCACAGAGAGTTTAGACTGCCCAGCCTCTACTGGAATTGTACATAGGTAGAGATGGAGTGGTTTCTCCCACTCATTGTTGCACCGGAGTTGAACAGAAGAACATTAAGTTGGTTCTGAAACTAGAATGCTTTGGTTCTTTGAAGCTGCTTTCATGGTATCTGCTTGTACTGAATTACTTGACTGTGTCATAGTCCAGATTAACTGGTTAAATTTGACCTTTAGTGCAATGGAGTTTTATTTTTTGGGGGGAAAGTCTGCAACTTAGTAAAACACTGGTTTGTAAACTGTCACTATGCACAGAGAACCTGTTCCTCTTGGGTTTTTTTTACCCATGCATCCAACACTTCTTCCAGCCATGAGTGTTCAATGTTGAGTGGTGTTTAAGTTCCCTTGAAACAGGTAAACTGTGAACTCTATCTAGACCTTCAACTTATGTTGGTTCTTGAACCTGAAGGCAGAGAGCTGGAGCTCAGTATTCTTAATCCCCCAGGTTTGTAGGATATTTAAGGCAATGCTCTACTAGGAAATCAGTTATGTTTTTGTTTTAAATAATACTTGGTGTGATGCAGGAGGTTTCTTTCAAGCACTTTAAAAGAGATATATTCACTGCACTAGTTCCATTTCTCACACTGCTATAGAATTACATAATAGCATCTAGTACTAGAAATCAGGTTTTGGGTTGGTTTTGATAGTTAAAGTTCTAAATACTTAAAATATCAACACTCTTGAGGAATCTTTAAAGTAATTTGCTAAATATTTTGATTTTGAAGAAGAACGACTAATAAAACCCTCAATATAAGTCCCAGTGTCATGGTTCCCATCTCTCATGCTCTTTGGCTTCAACAAATTAACAACTTGCTGGATCCTGCCTGCCCAAGTGCTGTCTGCTCCCGTAGACACATGTGAACACTGTGTTGGGCAGAACAACCAGAGGTCTCCAGGCAGATGGCTGCAGTGGTGCAAAAACCAAGCCTAGGGAATTTGTGTTACAACACGGAGCTGGAAGCATTGAGAACTTAGGGAGAACTTCGCTCATTGCCTCAGTTTAGGTTTTCCAGTAGGAGGTTTTAGCTCATCAGGACCCCGAAGGAGATGACATTTGTCTCTATTATGTAGTTAACTTTATATGACAAAAACATGTAATTTGGGTCCAGTGTTAACTCCTGGAATTGTCTGTGAGGTTCTCAACTACATTAATTACCTTTACTTAAAATAATGCTGATAAAATATGTACCTGGTAAGTATCTAAGAGATGTGGAGATGAATGATGAGTAGGACCAGGACATTGCCTTGCACGTATCCCATAGTATTGAGCTTAACCAGCTTCTATTAGTGGGACTGAAATTAAAACTTGTCTAAGAAGGACATTCAGCACACAGAGGCCTGTGGGTGCAGGTAAAGCAGTTGCCCAAATTTCCTTCCTAGGTGAGAAATGTGACAGCTTGAAATGAGGAAATGGGGTTCCTGATTAATCAGAAAAGCTGGAAAACAAAACTCAGACTGCTTTACTGTCACTGCTGAGAGCATTCAGTTGTGTTGCTTGTTTCACTTTTCTTACAATTATTATCCAAACAAATCTGTCTGGTACTAGACAATCCTGAAGGGGCAAGAAGTCTTGCCAGCGAAGAAACGACTATTTAGACCAAACTTCTGAATAAAATCATCTCTTCAGTTGTGTTAATGTGTTTTAAGTTTTTTCAGTCTCTCCACTACAGTAACCACTCTGCTTATGGAGACTGTTGTACTAGTGAGAGCAGAGAGGTGAAGACAGAAAGTGATACCTATAAAAGCTGGTGGTCTCCTTCCAAAGAGATATACCCCTCTGTGTCTTCCCTAGTGATGCTGCTCTTGCTTTGTTGGTGAGGTTTCTGGATTTATATCTGTATTGGGTTGGCATGGCCAGGTTTTGGTAGAAGAGGGGCTATGGGCATGGCTTCTGTGAGAAGATGCCAGAAGCTTCCCCCATATCCCATAGAGCCAATGCCAGCTGGCTCCATTGCTGGTCAAAGCTGAGTCAATTGGGAATAGTGGTAGCACTTCTGTGATAACATATTTAGAAAGGGGAAAAAAATGCTGTGGAACAGCAGTGTTATGGTTTAGCTAAATTTCTCCATACCATCATGTGGTTTCTGAGGAGGGCGGGGGGACACACTCTGCCCCCCCCCCCCTCGGGGGGGGGCAGGGAGGGACGAGGGCTCCCGCTGGGACAAATCCCATTAGAACTTAGGAGAATAAAACTGCTGGCACAAGGGGGGCCTGGTCTCTTTGTCCTGGGCTGTTACTCGGAGGAGTTTGCTGCTTGCCCTCTGTAGCCGCCACGGGGGGACCTGCTTGGCTACTGCCGCCCGCCCGCTGTAGCCACTGCGGGGGACCTGCTTCGCTGCCAGCCGCTGTGGGGGGACCTGCTTCGCTGCCGCGGCTCGCCTGCTGTAGCTGCTTTACTGCTGCCAGCTGGGGAAGCCCCCTTTGTGTGCATGGTGAGCTGTTGCTGGGGTTTTTTTCTCCGTCGCTCGTCCCTGTCGTTTCCTGCCACTCGGAGCCCTGCCACCGCTACAACCGCCAGCATCTCTGCCTGGAGTCGCCGCTCCCGCGTGGCCGCTGCTGCCATTGTTACTGCTCATACAGTCACAACTCTGCCCAGGCTACATCGAGACCACGTGACCGTGTCGGGACTGCGTTGTCATCTCGGCAGCACAGTTGAGAGAGTGGTTTTGGGTGACATTTCCTCTGTTATTGTTTGATCATTGTTTTATTATGTTTTGTTCTCCATTTTTATTAAAATTGTTATTCATTTTCATACTCCACTCGAATGCCTCATAATTTCAAAATTGTTCGTAATTTAGGGGGAGGGGTTTCTATTCCATCGGAGGTCCCGCCTCCTGGTACACTGTCAATAAAACCAAGACAAGCAGCCAAAAAAGAGTTGAGCATATGTGAGAAACAACTCTGCAGACACCAAGGTCAGTGAAGAAGGAGGGGGAGGAGGTCCACTAGGGGCTGGAGCAGAGATTCCCCTGCAGCCTGTGAAGACCATGGTGAAGCAGGTTGTCCCCCTGCAACCATAGTGAAGGAGATATCCACCCTGAAGCTTGTGGAAGACCCCATGCCAGAGCAGGTGGATGCCCAAAGGAGGCTGTGACCCTGTGGGAAGCCCATGCTGGAGTTTGCTCCTGGCAGGCCCTGTGGAGAGTAGTCCACATTGGAGCAGGTCTTCTGGCAGGACTTTGACCCCATGGGGGACCCATGCTGGAGCAGTCTGTTCCTGAAGGACTACACCCCATGGAAAGGACCCATATTGGAGAAGTTTGTGGAGGACTGTCTCCCATGAGTGGGACCCCATGCTGGAGCAGGGGAAGAGTGAGGAGGAAGGAGCAACAAAGATGACATGATGAACTGACCACAACCCCCATCCCCCCCGTACTGATCAGAGGGGAGGAGGTAGAGAATTTGAAAATGAAGTTGAGCCTGGGAAGAAAGGTGGAATGTTTTAAGGGTTGCTTTTATTTCTCACTAGTCTAATCTGCTTTGATTGGCAATAAATTAAATAATTTACTCAAGTCAAGTCTGTTTTGCCTGTGATGGTAATTGCTGAGTGATCGCACTGTCCTTATCTCTGCCCATGAGCCTTTTGTTGTATTGTTGTATTTTCTCCTGCCCTGTTCAGTTGAAGAGGGGGAATGATAGAGCAGCCTGGAGGGGATTAATCTGGTGGCTTAAGGGAGAGGCAGTTCTGAAGAAACATGTAACAAATGACACAATGTGATGAGACTTGAATGTTGTTTTGGGCACTGCATCGTTTAGTTACTCTGGTACTGTTGTTCTCTCCTGTCAAGTTATGAACAAAACTCAACCTGGATGTGGGGAGGTCCCGCTGATAACTGGTGCGTGGCTGGGCTCTGCCCTGCTGCTAGCTGGTGAGATGATGACTGCATCCCCAGTAACACTTGAGGCCTTAGGGCTTTTCCTTAGGTTCTTGGATCAGATTGATTTATGTACCTGATTTATGTACCTGGCACTGCTTTAACTCTATCAGACATTGTTTGGCCTTCTTGTGCTAGCTGCTACCAGATACTGAGGTCTGGACGCCTTGGTGGAAAGGCTTGTGAGAAGTGTAGAAGCAGAACAAAAACTGGTGGCTGTACTTTGAGCTGTCTGAGCTGCCTCCTGATGGTTGTGGACAGCAGCAGCTTGGTAAGGAGTCTGACACTGAAGAGCCATCAATCACCCACATGGCAACCGAGGGCTCCCACTCTGTCTGCATAAGGCTGGAGACCTGGTGGGATGAGAGGTGCTGCTGTGGTTGTTGACTTGTTTTGAGAGTGACTTCGTTTTTGGGATCCTACAGTCAGACAGTGAGAGCATGCCCCGAGGCTTTCTTCAGTTAGCCTTGTGGCTCCTGCAGCAGCCGGAACACTCCTGGGCAACGCAGGTCACCAACCCCAGATCCTTTGTCATCAGTTTTTCTGCACAGTGTGTGGCTAGGCAGCTCTCCATGCTGGGGAGACTGCAGGCTTCTGTTGCAAGGGTCATTTTGCTACTGCCACAGGCTGTTCAGGTCAGCTACACATGGCTGGAGGTTGGAGGACAGCTTCTGAAACATCAACTATGTCAGCAGGCCAGGTGTGAAGGGGATCTAGTACTGATTCCCAACCCCAGTTAATCTTTTGCAATCAAATGTTTTTACAGGCATTTTGGAAACATTTACTTTAAAACAAATGTTACCAGACTTCTGTGGTAAATTGAATTTTATTTTAAATTACGT